CACTGCAATTTACCTATTCATTGATTGCATTTTTATTGATTGTGGTCCAAGACATTAAAATAGGTTGTGTTTAAAACCTGTATGCCTAAAAAGTTTTTGAGTTGGAGTCTGTTTGCATCTATAACATTTTCGAACAGAAATTACTCGAAATCATGGCGAAACCACTGCAGAAGATGAGAGAGAACCGGTCGGCAGACAAGAAAGACCTAACGTTCCATGCATACAACATAACTCCCGAGACGGCTCATACTGCTGTGCTGCTACTAGAGTCCAAGGAAGCGGAAGTATTGTGTCATGTAAGAGTCTTTCTTCATAACCGTTTATTGTTAAGGTTAATGTCATTGTTATGGTCAAAAAGAGTCTGAAATTAATAATAATAATAATAATAATAAAAGTTCTTGGTATTCCATTCAAATAACGGAATAGTTTGGGTACTTCTAAGATTATAACATATTTAAGACAGGTTTATAAAACATTAATACTATCACAGTGCCCAACCACAGATACATCTGGGAATATGCTGCTTAAGTACCTATTAGGCTTTAATCTCGGGAAACTTGCTCTCGAAAATTTCGCGAGTCTCATGGACTGTTTTGGCATTTTCACCTTAATATGTTTTGTAAATAATATTGTTTTCTTTCTTTTCTGGTGCTATCATGGAATAGACTCTTCGAGCAATCACAAAATTTTCTGCACAAGATATGACGAATCGTTACGTTCTGTTCAACCTGGACGCGATTAAGTACATCTTACCACACATCGATCATGAGGAGCTGAATATCAAGAGGTTCGGACTTAAGGCTTTAGCTCAACTTTGCCAGTTGCCGCGTGGTCCAGAACAAGTGTTGGAAGATCCTGTACATTTGATAACCATCACTGACTTGCTTTCTACGGTGCGACTGTGATTATAATTATAACTATGTACTTTTCTGACTGATTTACTAACAATATATATTTTAGTTTTTTTAATGTTATTCCCCTGCCTATATCTTTCTCGCCACTCGTTTACGTGCTGCCACGTTATTTTGTATTATATGTAGGTATGGTTTACATGGTCGGAGTGTATTGGAGAGGATATGCGCAGTGTTGTAGCCTTGCGCATTCTCACGAACTCGTCCGATTTTTGCATATTATCTTTGACCTCCCGGAAGAAGACAATGGCGGCACCAAATCGATTACGTATACCCAGACAATAATTCGCACAATCAACGAGCTGTAATCATCTAAAAGTAATTTCTATTTCTTTTTTATAATTATGGCAAAAAATCTTACTATTATATTGTGAATGTGGCTCAAAAGGTAGCTCACCCACTAACGTAGTATGAACCACATTAGGTACGTGTAACGAAACCGGACCATAAAATATGTTACGTGTTATTACAGGTTGAAGACTATTTTGTTTGGGAATTTGCGGCACTAGCACTTTCTGAACTGGCAAAAGAACCAAGTGGCTGCGGGCAGTTGGTGTCGGCTAACATTCTAGACGTTCTCATCGATAGAATGAAAAACTGTCCAGACCCTGACGTTCAGATTAATTGTTTACATGTAGGTATTCCTTACCACTAAAAGTTGTGAAATGTCTTACATTCCTCAAAAGTTTGGAAGTCGCTAGATATCTACCTAAAACAAATATTTTTAAACCCTATCGAGAATCCAAAACATTTCTTTGATAAATAAAGCAAGCAACGCTTTACAAAAGCTAGTTGCAAAGAAGAAAATAGACTAATAATCGGATCTCATTTAAATGTTTGTTTTCCAGACATTTAGCAATCTTCTACAGGATCCAGTTTGTGCGTCAGAAGTAACCAAGAACCCTCAGTTCAATTGGCCAGTTATCCTAGCTCTCATGCAGAGCAAGTATCTTGCTATACAACAAGCGGCGATCACCATTGTTGAGCAACTTGTTTCTCGATTTAGAGACCAGATTATTCAGAAAACTTTTAAGACTTCCACTGGGGTACTTGATTTTTGTGATATACTCGAGGTCAGTTCGTTTTCCATATTTGTCCCAATATAGTTGCTCTCAAATTTGTCTTTTGAGTATTTTTTAAGTCTAATGTGACCTTTACTTACTTATTTACCTACCAGATTGAGAAGTTCCTTGATGTTCACGCCCAAATCCTCGGCGTGCTTCACACGTACGTAGCGACTGAAGACAACGCCTCACATGTGTACCAGTCAGGGTGCATACTGAGACTCCTGGCATATCTTGAGGCGGCGGCACCGGCTATGAAGCCACACTGCCTCGCTGTACTGACAAAGATGTCATTTACAGCTAAAGGGAGAAATGTAAGTACTGAGTTGTATACCTTTACTTGAGATCAATGGATAATCTAAGAAATGTGAAAAAACTGGTCGTATTGGAGGTAATATAACATCTATAAAGGTTTACTAATATTTTTGTTCAAGTATACCGTCACACAAGAACTCACTGGTACAGGGTCAAGAGCACGTCAAGCTTGACACTTAAGATTTTAATCCAATTCTATGTCAAGCTTGACGTGCACTTGACTGTACTAGGTATCGTAGTCATTTTTTTCATTCTGCTCTAAATTCAGGCATTATGGTTACAGTAATGATCCAGTTTTCCTTTCTAGGCTCTGTTCGAAACAGGCACAGATCTGGTATTTTGCCACCAGCTACCAGGTGCGAACCCGAACTTATTGGAAGACGCGGCAATGGGCGTAGCCAATATGACCAAACACTTGCCGGCAGCCATTCGCATGACTGAAGCTAATATTATAGAGGCACTTTGTAGTAAGTACTTTAAACACTACGTAATAAAGACTATATATTTCATTCAGGTTCATGAGAAGTTCAGACTAATCAAAAATATGACTGATTAACAAAGATATGAATATATTAGATACATTAAGACGGAGTAAAATGAAAGTTCCTTAATAATAAAATCTTCTCAAGTGCAGGATCGGTGTTAAGATCTTACTTAAGTCGACTGTCTTCATCTATACTACTCATTAATTATATATTATTTGAAAACTATCAAAACTTCCTCTTTTTAATTAACAAAAACAATCAAGTGTTAGGTGTCACTCTCTGACCACTCCTATAATGAGCCAAAGCGTAGACCGTACATTTCTCATTCCTTGTAAGATGCGGTCGCAATCAAAGTGACTTGTGGTTAGGTTAGGGAATAAAAAAGTAACGAGAAAAGCCACACTCCGATCGTCTCTATAGCTTTAGATATCCCACCGCGTCCCGCATATTAACGGTCACATTGACGAAATACGTAATGATCATATTATTTACATATACAATACGTTCAATTGTTCTTACAAACTCATTGTGCACGTTAAACCGGAAAATAAATAGTTTAAGGAAGTGATGGATAAGCCATTTTTTTTTGACGGGGGGAAATCTTTATGGATACCCCTGAGCCCAGGGAGACTCAGGGGTTATGTGGGGACTCTCCCTCCAGACTGGAGGGCCTACCCCACTAAAACCCCCCCGGGTTTCCCTCTCGCCGGTTGAGTCGGCGCCGTGGGATCAGTGAACATTCACCACGACGCCGCCCGGGAGTGATGGATAACCCTACCACTTCACGCACACATACATTTGCGTGTGTACAGACAACGCCTTGCTGTACGTAGTAGTAGTAGGTATAATAAGTTTTTACCACACCCCGGACACTCCATACAACAGTCGAAAGTTATTTTCCTACTACTATTACATACAGCTAGCCGCTATCTGCACATGCGCAAATGTGTGCATGAAGTGGCAGGGTTACCCATCACTTTTTCGTACAATTACGTTACGTGGTCAGAGCGAGCGGCAACATAGCGAAAATTCTAATTCGAATCTGTTATATTTAATTATTATTTATTATCTATTAATATAATCCTAATAATTACACATGTTCATTAGGTATTTAAGGTATTTGTTTAGAAAATATATCAAAAGTACTTCAAATGTTGTAGTTTGGACAGGTAGTTTTAAATAAGGTAACCAAGATATAGAAATTGCGTGTCCAAGTTTATCATTACCTAATACTCTAGCCAAATTCAATGTAGAAATTTAATAACAAAACGTTGCTAGGCAACCAATGATGGCATAAGAAAAGAACATTTTTTTCAATTCTCATTATTAAGGCTTTCTCTGCCCACGACCTGCTTCCCTTAATTTGAATTTAAATAGGTAAGTAGGTAATTGGGTTATGTAGAAGTAATACTTACCTGGTCAATTATTATAAAGTTTACAAAATATCTATTGATACGTATGATTTAGGAATAAAAATAAGTGTTTGCATCCTATTAATATTTAGGTAATGTAATTGGTAGGTAATGGTAGATGAAAAGAAACAAAATTGTAAGATTTTATTTGAAATTAATTTACTACATACTATATCATCCAGCATCTATTTCCGGTTCTGAACTTTAATTACCACCAGAAGTCGAATGTTTACAATCTCTACCTTCAAATCAAAAAGTTACTCGGGACGACACAGTTTTACAAATAATTAATAACTGGTCATTTTTATATCATTTTTAGGTGATTTGAAACTTCTGTTGAATAATATTAATTATAAACATAGCTTCAAGATTTAGTTTATTCATAATCTAGTCGAATTTCGTAGGAAAACTTTGAAATTGTGGTTACTGTGAAAAATTCTGAGATGAAAACCCTAAAAATCATATGTTTTCGTTTGTTGACGTTTATTCTACATCGAATTTGGCTAGAGTATAGTTAATAATTAGGTATATTCACTACGTATAATATTTATCGGCAATACAAATTGAAAATTCGAGAACCTTTGTCTGCTAGCTCGTCTAGTAGAATCTCAGATGTAAGTTTTTGTCATCTTCGTTTCATCTTTCGGAAAACGAAATAAATTCCTCTCTTTATACCGTTTAGATGATCATAACAGCCGTACATAGTACAATCACGACCACTATAAATAGTAACGTACTGCATACAATGATGTTATATACGTACAAGTTTCGTAATGAATAAATGAAAAATATCAAAGCAGTCTTAGCGCGAAAACGGCTCGCCGACAGCCTTGTTGTCGTTCAGTCAATGTGTGGTATCTAAATCTAGGGAGGGGCGGAGAGTGTTCTCAATGTTTTTGTTCTCTGGTTTCTACAGTTGTTGTATGGAGTGTCCGGGGTGTGGTTAGGTTAAAAAATGGTTTTCGGTGATTAATCATTACTGAGTTGAGATGTAATTCTTTATAAATTGATGTAGCTCTTTGTTAAATTTACGATTAAGAATTGTTAGCGATTAATGTTGTACGTTATGAACATATTTTTGTAGTAAGTTAATAGAGTTCTGGTTTAATTTAGATATTATTGAGTTTCACTTCAGAATCAACGCACACACGCACACACTCAACATAACCCGCACTAGGGAAATAGACAACCACAAATTCCACCCAAACTCACGAGAGAAATAACTGTAGGCCATACATATATTTCTCCCGGCCCAGTTAAAATGTGTACATTAAAGGAGTAAATTCAAATGCACATCGATATCTGAGTACCTGCCATCAGCCGAAATGTAATAAATTTTATTCCGGACTTTAAAACTATTTATTAATACGACTCTTAAGTTCTATTAATACAAAGATCGCACACTGAAAATAAATTCCTTCGATCCAGCTGGATTAAAACCAGAGTCTTCAGTATATCGTGTCTGATGTTTTCGCAATAGAGCTACGCCACGAACCAACAGACCTTACGAATTTTTCTACTTGTTGCAGATCTTTTTTTGTTTTTAACGACTTTTTTGTCGTAGCGCCATTTGTGAGAAATCTATGAAAGTTGGTCTTCACCTAGCCCGGTAACTTTATAGTTACCAGCGGGTGGCTAGATGTCGCTTTAATCATCGTAATTTTATGTTTATTGAATGTTACGATGTTTTACTACTATGACATTAAATTATTTTTTGGGAATTTACTCCACTAAATTGTTAAGAATTGATAAGACAGACAGAAGAATTGAATTAATAAGACAAAGATCGGAGAGTAAGGAAAATTCCATCCATCCAGCTGGATTCGAAACAGCGCCTTTAGCATACCGTATTTGGCGTTCTCCCAAATGAGCTACCGAACTAACTAGTAGACCTTATGAATTTTTCTATATGCTTGTTGCAAATCTTTGTTTTTTTTGTATTTAACGTTTTTTACCGTATCGCCATCTGTGAGAAATCTATGAAAGTTTTTCTTCACTCACCTTTTCTTCTTTCTTCCTTCTTTGCAGATTTTTTAGGTCCTAATAGTAGTTTAAGGTTCTTATAAACTCACCCATACTCTTTTTATATTGCCTAGCAATCCTCGTTGATGACTCAGCGTCTTGGTTCAATGTGCGTTTAAACGTGCTTCTCGCGCTCGCTGAACTTTGCAAGGTCATCCCTGCGGCAGCTTACACTGTTGCCGAGAGCAAAACCTTCTCTGCTCTCAGGAATATCAATCGGAAGGGTAAGTAGACTTTATCAGCAGTTAATCACAGTTGACCTCCCATAACGACAAATGACTTCATCTTGCGATACTCACATCCGACCGGGAAACTAAATTTGATTCAACAATTTTTATTTACGAAACGAAATAAAAGAGATTTTACATTGTCATGTGGCCGCTTTCTTTTAGGAAGTCATATTCTTCCCAATAAAGACAAATTTAACCTGTCATTTTTTTAATTTAAAACGACAACACGTCCTTTGCAGCGTAGTTACGGTGCCATTCAGAGCTTCACAAAATCACAAAGGCCTGAGCTGCATTGCCACGCGTGTCACCCTGAGACACAAATTGATAAGTCTCATGTGCCTTTAATTTCACCAGTACCCTTCAAAACCGGAACGCAGTAATGCTCACATTACTGCTTGGTGGCAGAAATAGGTAAGGTGGCAGTACTTTCCTGGACGAACTCTTTCAGAAGGAGCTCTGTTGCTATTAAATTTAAATTAAAAATATCCCAGTAGTTGCCAGTGGTAACAAATGGATGTTCAATGCCGCCATCGAAAGGGAATAAAATTAAATTCGAGTCAAATGATAAGTACAGATTTTATTGATTGGGAATAAGCAAACGACGTGCCGGGTCACGTCGACTAATTAGTCGACGTGACCCGGATGTAGTATTCTACACGACTTCGCGACTAGAACCGACTAATTGACGACTTTTTGTGGGTGCAATCAAATCTAAGCTGTGGTTCTCCGCGAGATTAAAAAATGGTGCCGCTGGAATAAGTTTATTCACCAATTACTGCTGCATCTATTTCTAGGTGCAGCAGTATTCTCTAATTGAAATCAAGTTATTATTATTAAGTATATAAGCATGTCGTATCAGGTCTTTGGTAGGCGTTATGATTTTCTTTTTCTGCAATCTCCATTGTGTGCTCAGGCAATCGAAATCAATGGCAGTTCTGACTTTTCACTTATATTGTACTTCACAAACACGACAATCAAAAGAACAATGGCCAATTACGAACTGGCAGGTTTGAGGTGGTGGTCCGAGGACACAGTGTTCATTTAATCTGTCTTTAATTTAAAAGCAAAAAAAAAAAAAAAAAAGAAATTTCTTTTTTTTTTATATATATAAAAATAAGTGCGCATTTGACCTCCATCTCACCTGATGGAAAGTGACGATGAGGTCGAGGATCTAGCATGCACACCTAGATAATGCCTATTATAGCGTTCGGGGAACAAGTCTGCATGCAGGGAATACCACTCCCTAGCCGCTCGCCATACAAATGTAGAAGCGAAACGTTTCGAAGGCGGAATCAAATTATGCAATTCCATCGCACACTCTCCGTTAAATATCCTGTAGCATACCGATAAGCTGGCAACTCCACAGCGGGGTTCAAGGCTCTGCAGCTTCGCCTCTACTACTTCCGAGTCGCCTATAAGCCTCTTAGCACGTTTGTCTATTGAATCCAAGGTGGATGGTTGGTATTTAGCAGAGCCATTCTATAAGTGGCACTTGCGCCTTTGCCATTACTTTTTCAACTCGCCTAACTTGTGCCTCACCTCCTCATCTCTGCCCTAGAAATATCATCGAATTTACACTGACATTTATATTATTATTATTCCCTGGACGACCTCTTTTACAAAAACTCTATGCTATAAAAAATTGTTGTAACCTTAGATGTCGTATGTTTTTTTTTTTAAAAGCATTTATTTACTAGATAAAAGTAATTACAGTATCCATTGTTGGGGCTACTTGTAAGTAGAAGTTACTTGTGTTAGAAGCCCTGCTCTTCATGGTTACAATTTTTTTTATCCGTAAATTAAATATTTAAAATAAAACTAAGAAAAATGGGGATAATTAATGTGTATGTATGGTATATGTCTGTGTCTGTCTGAAGCCTGTGTGTGCGCGCGCGCGCGCGCGCGCGCGCGCGTGTGTGTGTGTGTGTGTGTGTGTGTGTGTGTGTGTATGTGTGTGTGTGTGTGTGTATGCTTGCGTGCGTAACAGGACGTATAAGTACTACATATCTGGTTGTGTAAATAAATATTGATTTAATTTAAAATTTTGTTACCATAAGGGTATTTGTTTATACACGAAACAATCGTTTCTTGTCAGCGAAAGACAATCCTATCGAAGCGCAGCGGCTCGCTGTGCAGTGCTACTTAAATCTGCTCAGCTACAGCGTGAGCACTAAGGCCATGCTCACCGGAGACTTCATTGGAGAGCTCATTTCAATCTTACAGGTAGACCTGTTATTTAATTCTCAGATGTTACCTCATTAGGAATAGAATAGAATACGTTTATTTGCCAGAATACAGTAATTACAAAGGTCTTAAGTAAAATTAGATACATTGTATTCAACCTGCAAGCAGATGTGCAAATATTAATGGGATTCAATGTTTCTTTAGTCTCTATAGTTTCTAATTAATGTAAAGAATTTGTAAATTCTAAGTATGCTTTATTACTATAGAAGCAATGTGTCAAAAGCCATTTTGTCAATTTTAATTTAAAAGTATGTCCTTGTAACAATTTAATTTCGTTTAGTAATTTATTGTAAATAATTATACACATGTTGAAGCAGTTATTCTTATAAATTACTTTATGGCAAGGAGGTTGGTATACTTACTCGTAAGAGATTCATAATTTTTGCTCTAGTTTGCCTTTGAATGACTTCACCGCGTCTTTTAAAATATTGAGGATGAGAGTTGACAAATACGCAGATATCCCTAATGTACATGCATGGCAAAGGTAATATGTTCAGCCTTTTAAACAGCGGTTTGCAACTGTCATCGAACCACGCACCGCAAATTGCTCGAATACACTCCTTCTGGACTTTAAACGCTCTTTTTAAGATTACAGAGTTACCCCATAGTACAAGATCGTAGCTGAGCACGGACGAAACGTAGCCGTGATAGGCCGTCAACGCAGCTTCTCGCGAGACAGTTTGCCTTAGTCTTCGTAAAGCGTAAACAAATCTGTTTAGGTTCATGCACATCTGTTCGATGTGTTCCTTCCAGTTAAGGTTCTTGTCGATTGTTAACCCAAGAAAGTTAAATGTGTCTACTTCATCTACAGTATCAGAGTTGTAATTAATTTTAACCGGTATGGGATTTGAGTTGTAAGATCTAAATGTCATAACTTTGGTTTTGCTTATATTAATATTCAAGTCATTGATGTCCATCCAACTTATTACGTCTGTCAGTGCTTTATTTACGTCAGTGTTAAAAGTCGCTTTGTTTTGGCATTTTATTATAAGAGTTGTATCGTCAGCAAATTGTAAACAATTATGATCAATAGCATGTGGGAGATCGTTAATGTAGAGTAGGAACAGTAACGGACCCAAGACGCTACCTTGCGGTATTCCAGCATTAGTCGTCTTAAGGTGTGATCTAAAAAATTGTTTTTCTAATCTATTATTGTGTTTGTTTTTTGTTAATCTACTTATTTCAGTATACTGTGTCCGATTTTTTAAGTAGCTCGCTATCCAATTTTGGGCTGTTCCTCTAATGCCGTATGCTTCAAGCTTGTAAAAGAGGTAAGAAATGCACTGTTGTTCTGGTACAACCTCCACTAGGAACTACATTTCGTAACCTTGGTATAATACATGTAGGTAATTTTTAAACGCAAGTGATACCAGTGGCGGATTTGCCCTAAGGCCCGGTAGGCCCGGGCCTAAGGCGGCCAGATTTTTAGGGGCGGCCATTCGTGACAAAAAATTCACTGATGACAACAAGAAATAACTCAAAGTATCTAAATATTCTAAATGTTCACGCACATTACTTATGGCGGGCCACATTGCACCGCATCGTATAACAATATCTTCCTAAATCACTGTCGTAAATTTTATGTGTTAAATAATTTATATTACATATCTATAATGTAATGTATAATCACTACTTCATTACATCTGTCTGTCTGAACTCGAAAACTACTAAACGGATTTTCATGTGGTTCACCAATAGACATAGTGATTCATGAGCAAGATTTAAGTTTATAATTTATTTAGGTTTTGTGTAATTTGGCTGAAATATGACGATAAATGTTGAAGATGTCGGAAAAAATCATGCCATCATGTATGCAAAATCAAAAATTTCTGAATCGTTTTCGATAAAAGTTGGCAATAAAGTAAATTCATTATGTGGTCTACCAGTATTATGATGAGTGCTGACAAAGGGGCGGCTGGTACTGACGACATGGCCTGGGGCCTAAGGCGGCCAAGTCTGCAAATCCGCCACTGAGTGTTTTACTCGGTGCGAATTTCATCGCTCTCACGCCGCCGCGCGGAGACCGGATCTTTAGCGATAAGCAAAGTAAGTTAAGTGCAGCAGCAAGTGACATGTTTCCTTTTTAATTACAGAGACCAGACGTGAATCTGAAGATCATGACGTTAAATGTTCTCACAGGACTGATGTCCAAGGAAACTGCGAAGTATTTGTTCAACGATAAAAAAGGCGAAGAGGTCTCTGTTTTATGGACAATTACTTTGACCCAGAGTAACTTGATTTATTTAGTTTGACACTAAGTGTCTCTGTCTACTGCAGGGAATGTCGTGT